AAATACAAGACTTAAAACCAGATCAAACAAGAGTACTAAAAAGTGTGAATAAAAGCTTCAAAAGCAATGGAAAAGTAAAATGAGTCCACTGAATATGTATGTTAGTAAGACCCCTGTAAAACACATGTCAAACTCCCCATGGGAGGGAAGAGTCAGGGAGGAGGGAAGATGGTAGAGGTAGAATGGGAGGGTGATTTACAAAATGTTCATGTCAAAACATAACAATCCCATTTTTAAAGGAAGGGTAAGCAAGCAAAATACCCTCAGAGTCAAGGATACTACAACACTGAGATGCATGATGAACATTACAGAGAAAAGAACTCTTAAGATATTTTAAGAAGCTAGTTTATTTTTGGCTTCATCTGCAGCAAGATGAGACAGGAAAAGTGACTTCTACATGGTCACCTCATCTCACTGTACTGCTAGTCAACACTAAACACAGGAGCCAAACCCTACCCCTTCAACCCAATTCTTCCCAGTTCCCTCAGGAGAGGCAGTGTGGTGCTAGTCCGTATTTCTGTCCCTCCCAGAATTCCTCCACAATAAACTAAGTTTATGCTTTAAACATACCCAGTGGTTTATACCCAAGTGTTTCACTTACATCCTCCTCTTCCCCTTACCACTCCTGGAACATCACTGGACTCCACAGAGAGGATAATGTCTATGTAGTGCTTTGCAACCACTGTGCTCTGACTGGGAGAGCAGGTGCTGGCGCAGGAAGGTTGGGAATACATTTAAACCTCAGGAACTCCCTTGCTCTCTTCCACCCTGCTTGTAGGGGTTGCTGACTACAAAATACTGAAGAAAAAGTTTCAACATACCAAAGCAATCATTTGACAGAATCTTTTCAAATTCATATTGAAAATTTCCAATACAGAAGCCATACAAAACGTGCTTTTTATCTACCAACCACATTCAACGAAGGTATAAAATACAATTACTTTATTGATTTCTTACAATCAAATACTGCCAACCAGCATTACTTCCACTCATGCATCATTAAAAACAAAAGGACATTTCCTTGGAATTTTCAAATGACGCATTACACAATAAACAAAAAAAGTTAGAACTTAAAACGCACCCTGATTAATTATGTAAACTGGTAATCTTTTTAAAAAGCGTAACTAATAATTTGGTTCCTTTCTTCATAAAATGGAAATTTAAATATTTCTCCTGATAGTCTTGAGGTTATCATTATGTTACGAGTAGTGCAAAGTGTGGCACAGTTTCTTCTAGAAAGATGTGTCTTACACACCTCAAACCAACGAAATGTGCATAACAAGATGCATACAGTCAATGCATGATAGAAAGCATATTTCAAATACAAGGCAGGCCCTCAGGCCACCATATCATTTAGGTTCTGTATTATCATTTATGGCATTATAGATTAATTACACATAACATACTTTTATACATTTTAACCCTGAAGATAAGAAAAATAATTGTTGCTTGAAAAAATTATTCCAGGTAGCCATTTGGTTTGTATCAGGAGAAAGTGAACCTCCGAGAGCTTAGTGTCTGGAATCATTAACTCGAGTCGGTGAGTCAGATGCACAACATGTTTCACAGTGACTGTTTCCAAGTCCTGCGATGCCTCTTCTCCAGGGTTTGCCAGATGATGAAGCATCTCCGGGATTACCTTGCATGTGGTTTTCCCTTTTTTATTTTTGCTGGATTAACTGTATTATTTCCTCTTCTCGCCTCTTCCACGGCCTTCCATTTTAGTTATTCATAAGTCCTTTGAGAATATCCTCAGAGAGCTCCATAAGGGGAAGTTCTGAAGATGGAAAATCCAAGGGAGGAAGATTGGGTATTGGAATATCCTTGGCTTTCCCAGTATTTGATGCAAACTTCTGCCAGGTTGAAGAGGCTGCAGCAGTTTCTGAATGTGGCGGCAAGCTCCACAACTCTGACTTCTCTACAAAATCAGCATCTACATCAAGCTCCTTTTCTATTGGGCCTTTTAGAAGTCTGGCCTTTTCAGCCTTTAGTTGTTTATTTTCTTTCCTTAATCTTTCATTCTCAGCCACGAGGAATTCCACATGCCTCTTCAAATCTGCAATTTTGGTTGCCTGCTCCTCTATTATTGTTTTATCATCTTTTGGGGCTTTGCTTCCAATGTGCAGCTCTGTTGGCTCACTCTTCTGCTGAAGTAAAAATAGTAGTGTGTCTGGATCCCTGTCAAAGACCCCCTGAACCTCAGGCAAATGTTTCTCTGTGGAAGGGCTGTACTTCTGAGAAAGGAGGGGACTGTGGCCCTCTGCATCGTCAGCAGGGGGTTTGTGAGATGCCTGGAGCTGGGCAGCTGCATCCCTGTCTGTGCTCTGCTGGGCTTTCAATCTTTCCTCCCGCTTGGCCCTCTTCCACCTCTCCTGGATGAGGAGGAGCTGTTTCATGTGGCTGTCCCTTTGCAGTTCCAGTGATAAATGAGCCTATCACGCAGGGGGAAAGGTACAATGTAACATTTTAAGTCTCTTTAGAAATGTCCAGTAAATAACTATTTCAGTTGAATAACACTTAAAATTTGTTCTATACACTATGTTTGCAATTCAGTAGAACCTCAAACATTTTTCAAAACAACTAAGTCTTTTTAGGTAAGCGAACATCTTTATTCATAAACACAACAACATTCACTCAAAGTCCAAAGTCCTATTCCAATTCCAAAGGAACACAGTGAATCAGACCTTCTGTGAATGCGCCTTACCCCTCTGTAGTGCTAGACTTTAATTCTACAACTAAAGTGTTTCAAGAAGGGTGTTCAGCAGGTGTGATGCACATCTGTATTTCAGGGCTAACACAGCAGGCAAAGGGGAAGTGTACAGAATGGAACACCTAGATTCTCTTCGGTCAGTCTAAGGAGCTGGGGTTTTTCCCCTGCCACTGATATTCCCTTGGATCTTCTTAATTCAATTACACAAACATTCACCAAGTACCTCCTATGTACCTGCCACTTTCATAATCAGGAATCACCTTAGAAACCTAGGCAGGCCCTCCCCAAACACAGAAGACAATTTAAAGCCAGAACTGCTTAGAAAATCAGGAAAACACAAGTTCAAATTTAAAGTATCTTTGAAAAGCAAAGGTAAGGCAAACTGATTTTCCCCCTGGTCAAGCCTGCTTACTGACACTGAGCTAACGATCAGGAAAGGCCCTAAGAGGGTCTCTAAAGGACACATTTGGCAATCTAAGATCTATGAGTAACCCCTGGAAAAAAGGATAGCAGTTTCCATGTGCCAAGTCTGCTACATCAACAGCAGTTCATTCAATTTTCTTCCTGAAGCACTCGTCTCTTGCCCATTTTATGTAGTTCTGACTGCAGTGCTTTGGGTGGGGCACAATGCTTTATTTTACACACAATTCAAGTCCCCTCAAGAAAACCCTTCAGACTCTTGCTGAAAATGTTGAAGTGTCTCACCTGCTCAGACTGTGTCAGCTTCATGGCTTCAGAAAGATAACCTAGTTTAAAAAAAAAAAAAGGCACATTAAAATATGAGTGCTGTCACTTTTGTAATTTATAGGTCAAAGAGTTTTAATACTCCTTACAAACGAAGTGAACTGGTCTTAGAAGGAATTCTGATACATAGTTATTCTGTTCTTAAAAAGAAACAAGGTGAATATTTAATTAAAAAGAGAAAGAAAAGATTCTTAACTTCTCCAAAAAAGGTATCAATGTTAATCAAATGTAGATATTCTATACTTCATCTTGGAGGGGTCTATTCTTTAAAATCCCTGTATATTTCACAATTAAGGAATTAAAAATGGCATAATCAGAAAAACAAGGAGAGTTAAAATTCAGCCTATCAAAGAACCTATCAAAACCCTATTTACTCATCATGCTCACAAAAATACCAAGAGAGTAACTATCAGTGAATACCTGGACTATCATTGTGGCCTCCTCTAGAACTTTTTTTTTCTAATTCTTTTTTTTTGAGGGGGATGGTAATTTGGTTTGTTTGTTTGTTTGTTTGATGGCAGTACTGGGGACTGAACCTGGGACCTCGAACATGCTAAGCACTCACTCTACTCAGTGAGCTATACCCTCCCCTAGAACTACTTTTATTAAACTGTTTCTGAGGCATGCCATCAGCCTACTATGAATTCAGTACTTAAAGCCCTAAGAACTTATTGACATCTACAGGCCGGTAGTTGAGGGCAATATTATGACATTTATGAACATGACAAATGGTCAATGACTTAACCTCTCTCCTCTCTGATCTTACGATCAGTTCCTAGGTGACTTAATTTGTTTGAATTTAAACTGTCACTGTAAAACTCCATATTTTCCTCTCTGAGCTGACTGCTAGAAAGCTTAAGGCTGTGTTCCCCTTCTATCAAATATGCAAGAACTCATGATACATTTTGTGAACTCTAGTTCCAATCCTTCCCCATTCTATCTGTCTATGGATTACATTTTATATTTTTTGTATTCCTCTGTAAGCCCTTTTATATCTTCTCTGGAACAAAATGGGGTATAAATAACAAGTATTAATAATAGATCATGCACAATTAATCTTTTTTTTTATCCCTTGCTCACTATAAACTTTTTGGCATCTCTCATACACTTAAGTACTTTATTGCCTTTTCCCAGATACTATAAGGCACTGTTTTCTGTCTAGTCAATCCAAATATTTTAATGATTTTCTGAGTTCATGACTCAGAACTGTTGCCTGCCAGGTCCTACCACAGTCTTTAAGACAGGTTAATTAGATGTTCCCTCCCTAAAAGAAAACACAGGGTTGATTACATAGCTTTTGCTCCAGCCATACTCACATTTTTTTCACTCAACATTTTGTCTTTTATTCCTATATTAAGTCTGTATAGCTGCATACTGACTATTTCTTTCCCTTTTGTTCATGTTTAAGTCTGCTGAGGCAGTCTGTCTCTTACTGTGGATTAATTCCCGAGACATCCCTCCCTTTATGTCTGCATACACTTGTACCCCTGTCTGGACTACAGTTTGCTTTAAATCCCCTTTCTTAACAAATGGAACAGTTTTGCAAAACCAAGCTTAACCCAACTGGACTGCCTCCCTTTGTAGAACCTTGAAACTGTAACATGACAGAAGATACCCAAAGACACAGAGTTCCCAAAGCACAGAGAATTTAGCAAGAGTCACACTGTCATTTAAAATAGTTCCCACATTTTAACTTAAAATCTGGGCCTTAAAAGAAAAGAAAAATTTCTAATTATTTTAAAAGAAAAAAAAATTTAATCTGACTGCATGGTCATGGATTTGCTCCAGAGCCACAACAGGAACAAATGCCCACCAAGACAGAAATGTAGGTAAGGAATGCTTACCTCAGAAAAAAATCGAATAATCTGGTTAAACTGCTTCCTTCAATTATGATACAGGTTAATATTTAAAGTAAATATTAAGGAAATGGTAAGGAAAAGGAATTAAAATCTGAAGAATCTGTTTCTTCTTAAAAATAACATCTACTACTACTCTATCATGAACCTGTTGAACTGCTACCAATGTATAAACTGTATACCCTACCTGCACACACACAGCAAAATGCTGCCTCTGAATGACAAAGACTGATCTATTCTGAACCATTTTCATGACACCAGTCTCTTAGGAAGGTCCAGGACAAGATTTGTTTTCAAACACATAATAGTGAGGTCTGCTCATCTTCTGAAGTGTTCACTTTTGAGTTCTAAGCATTTTTAACGGCTACTATTAACTTCCTAGTTAAGCTTTTGCTCTTTTTGCTGTCTGTCAAAGAAAAGTCCGCTTAGAGAACTGGACTGCATAAGACTGATAAGGGAGAATTGGAGCAACCTAGTTACTGCTGCTAATCAAGGGTTTAAAGCAACAGATTTTTCTGACAATGCTGAATCCTTGGTAGTTTGTAGCTTCTTGAGGCCTTTTTTTCAATATAGGGTGGTAAAATTGTATACATCTCCTCGTCCCCACCTCCTGCAGATTTAGGCGGCTTTTTCCTTCTAGGTTTTGTATCTCAGCTTATCAAATAACCTCTGTTTCCACACATTTATAAAACTATCGGATACTACAAAGTATAAAGGCTATGAGTCCTCAGCTGTGTAATCTCAGGGTAAACTGAGTCTCAGTGGCTTTCCTTCCCACTAGTCTTTCTCAAATGATGACCTTACCGGCCATATCTCTAAAATGATTTGCAAATACTAAGTTCCTTCCCCTCAGAATACATTTATATCCATACCTCCCCAAAACACCTGTTACAAGCCCTGGATGTAAGTCAACTTAGAAAACATCTAACTCATTCCAATCACATTAATTTTCAAACTAGCATTAAATTCACAATTCCACTCTGAAACACAAGGCTATTTTTAATGAAGTCTAAACTACAAATCAAATCAGCTGAGTGGGACTAACTAATCACACTTAAGTCCTATCTCCATAATTAGGACTAATGGGATCCAACAGGCTGCCTTTATCTTTTCTACTCCAGAGAAAGTCACAGAATTTAGATACAGAGAAGGGTGGAGAGGCGGTTAAAGCCCAAGTCTTTATTTGAAGACTTAAAACTAAGTCTAGGGGATGTAGGTTAGGAATGAAAGTTTCCCACTTTTACATATTCAGAATATCCTACTAATCCACGCACAGCATATGCTGATCATTCCATTTTAACGTGTGTTAGATACATGTAACAAGTGGTCATTTAAATATTATTTCACTATTCATCCACAACATGGTTTTCTTAAATAGTGTAATATATTCTTTTCTTTATAGTGACTACAAATTTAACATTTTGACTCATAACAAAATACAGTTTCAGAAATATTTAAAGAGCACTAGCTGCCATTTAACATTGTCTAAAGCTCCCATAAAACTCACCACAAAAATCCACAGGTTTACGGGGTACATACAATGCACTCAGCCCTACAACTGAAGGGTATCCACTTCAGTGGCAAAACTAATTTTTCAAAAATGAGACTTGAAATTGTCTCTGCAAATTACTGAATTGTAGGCAAAAATCAATGACATGAGAGGACTTATCCAAACGAGTGTCCACTGTTTCGTCTCTATTTCAGCAGAAAGGCAACACAGGAGGGGCAGACTCTGCCTGGGCTAAAAACAAGGCTCTGATCATCATACTGGCCTACAGGGAAAGGAGTGCCTTCCTCTAGCAGAAAGACTACAGGGCATACTCTAAGAAAGGCGGCCACATCAGTTTAGGATGCAGCAACACCATCCCAAAGCCTTTAGGTTTGGTACTCAGCCAACAGAACCCAGTCTGTACCAAGACCCACTTCTGAGTTCAACATATGCTAGCCTGTATGACTGGGATAAAATGAGGCGTTTGATAAGAATCAGATTATTCTAAATTTCATACCTAAAAGAAAGCTATCAGCAGCATGATACTATAGGCAGGAATTTTCACATGAAACATTCAGAAGGGAAGCTAAAGAAAGACCACAGGAAAGAGTTTCAATGGGTTCTGCATTATCAGCATCTTAGAAAACAAAAAATCAGTGAAAATAAATTGGTTGGAATTAAATTAGCTATTACTTTCAGAACACGAAATGGCTATTTGAAATCCAGACTCCTCTATAATAACTAAGATGAATTGGCAGATTTGAATTGCAATTATTACTTCTGTCTTTGGGGACAGTCAGGCTCAGCAAGCTGTGTTCAGGACCCAGTTACCAATATGGTATATGCAAACCTTTACGGCTTAGAAAGGCTGGGTTAGGAGGAGCTGGGAAATCGAACACACTTGAAAAATAATCCAGGCTGATGTTCTAGGGGTCAGCAGTGTCCACCTGGTATATGCAGGGCAACAACACATCACTACTACTGTGACTTTCATTCTAAATAAAATGTTGAAAGATACTGGAGGAAAGAAACTGCCCTGCAGTTTTACTCAGTACATCTTAAAAAGAGTACTCACCTGCAGCCTTTTTGTGACAGGAAATAGCCTCTTCGTATTTCCCTGCAGCTAATAAACGATCTGCTCGTCTGCTCTGCTGATGAGCCTAGAAGACAAACATTTCTGAGTTCCTCTGACTTAAAAAAAAAAAAAAACCACTTCTAAGAAAATAGTTTCTTGCCACACATCAAACCATGACAGCTATACCTAAAGCTGGGGAATGCATTAGGGTAGCATCTGAGAGGACTGACAATGTCTCTCAGCTCTACCAATAAGCAATCAGGGTTAACACCAGGCACTAACTCCTTTACTGACCCACATTCTTCAGAGATTAATCAAGAGTTATAATCAGATTGTTACTCAAAATGTGTATCTTCTTGGTTTTTAACAAGCTCCTTTCAAACAAGTGTTATTTTGTAGAAACCACCAGTTAGTAGTTTACAACCTACAACCAGAAAATTACTTACCACATAGTAATGTTCAAATTTCTCTTGTATCAACTCACTCTTCCTTTTCAACATTATAGCTACTATTTGTTTTTAAGACAAAAAAATGTTTACATTATACAGTTGAGGAATTAATGATACTGATATTTAATATTATGGTGGAGATGTTTTCAGGTCCAACTCATCAAAACAAAAAATTCAGAAGTACTGAAAGCAAATGGATTAAATGATCAGTCACTGGCCTCCTTCTATTTGTGTTATATTTAATATTACAGTTTTGTGAATGTGTTTCATCTCTTACATAAGGAGGTACAACAGACTCATAGTGGTCAAGTACCTTACATAAGGTTATAGTTAGCAGGCAAGGAGAAAGACAAAAATGATCAGTTTCGAACTAGTGTAATGTTCCTAACTAACAAACTCACAGGTAATTTAGCAAAGCTTCTTAAAGCGAAAAGCACTGTACACTCATGTTCACAGCAGCATTATTCACACCAGTCAAAAGGTGCAAGCAACCCAAGCATCCATCAATAGATGAATGAATAAACAAAATGTGATACATATACACAAAGTACAATTATTCAGCCTGAAAAAGGAAATTCTGACACATGCTACAACATGGATAAATTTTTTCTTTTCAACAGATAAATTTTTGAGGTTTTAAGCTAATAATGAAACATAAAATGAGCCAGTTACAAAAGGACAAATACTCTATGATCTCACAGGAGGTATCTGAAGTGCTCAAACTCATAGAAACAGAAAGTAAACTGCGGGTTGCCAGAGGCTAGGGGGAGAGAAAAGTGAGGCGCTGTTGTTCAATGGAAGTAATTTTGTAAGATGAAAAAGTTCTGGACATTTGTTGCACAGCAAAGTGTATATTCTTAACACTATTGAACTATAGACTTAAAAATAATAGAGGACAAATTTTATGTTATGTGTACTTTACCTCAGTTTTTTAAAAACGCCAAAAAGCAAATCTATCAGGTGTAAAATGACTTATCTTGAAGCTTTTCCAAAAATGTGCCATCGATTTCTTTTTTTGGAGGGGGAGGTAATTAGGTTTATTTATTTATTTATAGGCCATCCTGGGGATTGCACCCAGGACCTCTTGCACACTAAGCATGCGCTCTACCACTTGAACTATACCCTCCCCTGTGCCACTGATTTCTCAAAAAAATACATCAGAGAATCACTTTTGCAACTCAGATTAGAAATATTCTGGGCATGTTTATAAATCATGCTCAGTGTAAAACAGCGGTAAAGGCAACAGTGGGGAACAGTACTTCCAGCAATGCATGCTGTTTGCATTCCTTCATTTCTGCCTTTGTAAGGAAGAAACAAGCAACACTCTTAAAAAGCAAGGTTGTCCCTTTCAATTGTTTCAGAGGCTTTTTATTCTTCAAATAGTAATTGAACTTTTTCTCTAGGTCTCAATTTATTCCTGAAAAGAATAATGAGTAACAAGAAGTGATTAAGAGCTTAAAATAATTTTAACCATGGAGTCTCGGATTGAGCAAAAAATATCGCCTGAGCATAGGAGTATTATACAGTACCCAGAAATGTTACAGATCTTTTTGGGAAGAGAATGTACTTGAGGAAGAAAGCTATGTTATGATCAACATGATTTCTCTAAGAAATGTGTTCTGAGAGGATAGCTAAAGCAAGTGGTCCTCAATCAATAAGATTCTAGGTACGGAGGAGGGAAATGAAAGGAGTGGATCTACACATACCTTTACCTTTCTAAGCTTTGACAGAAGCCTGATAAGAGACAAATGTTCTCTGAAATCCCAAACTACTTCCTAACTAGGGTGGCACAGTGCAGACCCAGCCCTACCAAAACCTGGGGCACTAGGCTCAAGTCCTCATTCTCCCACTAAACCAGCCAAGTTATCTCATCCTTCAGGGCCTGTTTCTTCACCTGTAAAATGATGGAGTCAGACCAAAACTGTGCTGCTCAAGTTTTAATTTATGGATTCCAGATCACCTGAGGATCTGGTTAAACTGCAGACTCTGATTCAGCAGGGCCTGAGATTCTACCCTGGTGAGGCTGAAGCTTCTGACTCCTGGGCACACTTTGAAAAGCAGGGATGAGATGCTCTCTTGAGGTTATCTCACTCTAACACTATGTCTCTATCCTGTCTCTTGATTAATCACATTCTACCTTGTACTATATTTATTTATGAGTTATTTACATTTATTTACATATATTTATGAGTTAAATACATTTACCTAGTTAAACTTCAAGCTCTGTGGTAACAGAATTGTTTCTTGAACACCAAATGAACAAAAAGTAGAGAGGACAGGACCTCATGGCTCCTCTAACTGCCCTTAAACCTCCCCCATGTAAAATCCAATCTCTGATCCCTCTGCCAATTCAGGAGTTACATCTCATTTTAAAGCACACATCTACTCTAGGTTATCTGGTAATCAAACCACAGCAATCGAATTCCCTAGTGAAAAATACAGGTCTTGTTAGACACCCAGCAAACGCAGACTCTGGATACAGCTTGACTGTCTAGGTGAACACTTATTTGACACACCTGAACTTGGCTTTCTTAACTTCCTGCCTCAGTTTTCTCATCTTCAAAATGAGAATGTTGTGAAAATTAAACCAGTTAAAAAATAATAAGAGCACTGGAGGTACCTACCATCATAAAGTTAACGATGTGGTTGGGGAGACTAGACTAAACTGCTTTATTTTTTCCAATTAAAGATACTCTAGGGATCTCATTTTTATAGTAATTCTTATTTTAAAAACAATCTTTAATGATCTCTCTTAATAGTAAAGTTGATCTCCCTTTAAATACTGTTCTTGGTATAATCACAGCATTAAAAGTATTAAATCTATAAATATGTTTCTTTGGTGATTCAAAATAAAACAAGAACAAGAAGCAACTGAAATGGGAATGACCATTGGCTAGGGATTCTAAAAGTCATCCGGGCAGTAGGTTCTGTAATTACTGAAACCATGTTTCTCTTTGGCCAAGAATATCAAGATGCACTAAAATTTTATGGGGAAGGCTCTATCTCAATACTTTGTATTCATTCAAAAATGATAAGCTACTGCAGGTCTTTATGAGTAATTTCACTAACAATTCAAATAATGTTTAAGCCAAGAATGTATCTATTTTGGGTACTAACCAAAACTGAGCTTGAATTTTATTTATTTTCCTCTTAAATATAAAATATCAATATTTATCAGGAAACTTTAGATAGAAAAGGTAACACTTCAAGAATTTCAACTCCAGGAGCACCAACATATGTAAGGCAAATATTAACAGAACTAAAAGAAGAAATAGACAGCAATGTAATAATAGGGGACTTTAATACCCCACTTACATCAATAATAGATCATCCAAACAAAAAAATGAGGAAACATAGGCCTTAAATGACATATTAGACAAGATGGAAATATACACTGAACATTCCATCCAAAAGCAACAGAATACACATTTTTCAAATGCTCAAGGAATATTCTCCAGGACAGGTCATATGTCAGACGACAGAATAAATCTTAACAAATTTAAGAAGACTGAAATCACATCAAAGCACCTTTTCCAGAAACAATGGTATGAAACTAGAAATCAGTTATAAGAGAACTGGAAAAGCCATAAATATGTCAAGAGTAAACACATGCTACTGAACAACAGGTGAAAGAAACCAAGGGAAAAACTTTTAAATGCCTTGAGACAAATGAAAATGGAAACAAAACATACACCAAAATGTGTAAGCAGCAGCAAAAGCATTTCTGAAAGGGAAGTTCATAGGGATAAATGCCTACACCTCACAGAACAAGAAAAACCTCAAACAGTCTAACTTTACACCTCAATGAACTAGAAAAAGAAAAATGAAGTTCAAAGATAGAAGAAAGGAAATAACAAAGGTCAAAGAAAAATAGAGACAAGAGACAAAACAAAAGATTAAACTAAGAGCTACTTCTTTGAAAAGACTAACAAAATTGACAAACCTATAGATACACTCACCAAGAAAAAAAGACTCAAAATAAAATCAGAAATTAAAGGTGTTAGGAGATGGTGGAGACCACGAGCTTGCCTCTCCTCACGACTACAACAAAACCCCAAATGACTGCTAAAGCACCATCAGAAAAAAAAAATAAGAAGAAGACGACTAGAAACTAGCAAAAAAGATCTTCATCTGGAAGGGAAGTACACAGCGGGACGTTAGGAGGGGAGTGCTCACAATATAATACGACCTTGTATCCCCTGGGTGGGCAACCCATAAGCTGAAGAATAATTAAGTCACAGAGGTCCTCCCACAGCAAGTGAGAGCTCTGAGACCCACATCAGGCTCCCCAGCCCAGGGTTCCAGCTCTGTGAGGAGGAGACCCCAGCACATCTGGTTTTGAAAACCAGTGGGGCTTAACTTCAGGAAACCCACAGAACTGGGGGAGATAGAGACTTCATTCTCTTGGGAAGCATACACAGAATCTTGCATGTGCCAGGTCCAAGGGCAGAGGCAGTGATTTCACAGGAGCCTGGGCTAGAAAATCCTGCTGGTTTTGGAGGGTCTCCTGGGGAGGCAGAGGACTGCTGCAGCTCACCCAGGGGATATAAAAGCTGGTGGCAGACATTCTGGGAGTGTTCATCTACATGATCTTTCCTGGAGGCTGACATCTTGACTAGATCACTAGCACGCAGCC